TCACAAACCGAAACGCCTCCAGTACAAGCATTGACTCCAAGTCATGCCACGCAAGCTGTCTGTTGAGCAATGCATTCATGTGGGATATTTACCACATCAACAAGGTAAAAGCATCTCTGCACACCTAGGGCTAAATGCCTACTATGTAGGGCACTGTAGGTTACCTAAATGTTTTGCACATCTCCTCTCCTGTCTGCTCGACGGCATCGCTCTGCCTGTCGCGGCCAGACTTGGCCTTGCGGCGACGCTTGGGTGAACTCCGGCTTGCTCTCTTGCTCTTGCGCTTGAGCGCCGCCGCCGCCGCCTCTGCCTCCAGCTCTTCTTCGCGTCTCTCCGCGCTGGCGTGGACGCATTGCCAAATGGGCGCTTGCAGCGCCGCTAGCGGGGCTCGGCAGGGCGTCGCAACTGGCGCCGCCACTGCAAGAGCGAGCTTGGCGTCTGCCATGTTTGGTCCGAAGGATTGTTCCAACTCGCTCGAGCCAAACGCTGCAAAGCCGAAACAAATGCTCGCTGAGAATTCGGTGCACTAACTCGAAACGGGCAGCTCGCTCTCTTTGTTTTTTCTGCGCTCCAGCAGATTGTGCTCGGCAAAAGCCCCGGCCTTCGACCTGGACGAACGCTCCCCTCTCACTGGCTCTGAGCTTGCCGGAGCAGTCCTTCCACTTGATTGCGGGCGATGCCGGGGAACCAGCGGACTTTGAGCAGAAACCAGAGCTTTCTGGAGTCCTGCAACTGCACAAATTGTCCTGCAGCTGGAAACGGCGCAAATGCGTCCAGGACTCCTCGAATCTAATGGACTCTTGCTGCCACAGAGACTCGACTGACTGCCTGGCGACAGTCTTCCATGTCACTTGGCCTGTGCTGCGTCTTCTGGTAGCCATGCGCACAAAATGACGCCAGACATGGCAGCATTTGCACAAAATATAGATCGGGTGCGACTTTGAAGTGCTTCTGCAGCGCTGTTCGAAATGCTGTCCATCTGGCAGGCGCGGCATCCAACGCCTCGCGGCAGTTGTCGGCGTCGCCGGACATAGCGCACGCCAGACATAGAGGACTGGGGCCCCAAAACATGAACGTGGTGCGAAGATGCCACAGCCGACTGCAAGCTCGACACTTGCACTCTGCCGAAGGACGCCACAACGGGTGCTCTTGACGGTTGGCGCAGGTCGCACAGGCCATGAAGACGTACAGGTCGTTGAGCATAAACTTCAGGTGATACCCCCTCATGTCTGAAGCCGTCTTACAGCCCGGCCGACCCGGTGAACAGACAGAAGCAAAGTTCGCAGCTGCACCAGCACTGAGGAAGTCTGCCCCAAAAGGTCTGCCGTGAGGAAGTGGTGCATCTGCAGGATGAGGCGACCAGCGCCCAAGGCCGATTCAGCCCAAAGTTTCAGCGCAGTCACCGCGTGGTCCACGAAGCGGACCACAGCTCCGACTCTGACTAAATCCATGGACTTGCCGAATGTTCTGCGGCGTCCATCGAGATTTGCGAACATTGACCGCACCGATCTTCTGGAACCAGCAGCCAGCCTGAATGCATCTTCGACGGCGCCGACAACGCGGCTGCGAGTCTCGGTCGTCAGGCCCTCCGCGTAGATGCTGCGGTCCGCCACGAACCACTCGGGGTGCAGCAAGACATCTGTGAAAAACGAGTGGTTGCCCAGGTACCTGAATACGCAGTCGAGGAAAAACCACGGGTTCAGCTTCGGCTCACTCAGCTCCAGCTCTTTTCCCCACAGCTTTTTGTAGACTCGGTACATGTAGAAGCAACGAGTCCATGTGTGGAAAAAAGATCCTGGTCTGGCAATGTCTTCGCAGTCTCTCGCAGCTCTGTGAAATCGTCTGCGTCCTTGGGGCAGCTGGCGGCGATGTACTGCGTGGCGAAGCAGCAGAACGAGCGCAGCAACTTTTCATTGTGGACGCGCAAGATGTGGCTGGCTTCGGCGCGAAATTGCTCATGCTGAGCCGGAAAAGAGCATGCAGCGTACTCGTATCTTTCATCAAAGAAAGACAATGTTTGCTGACGCGTCTTGTATGTGTCGTCTTCCTCTTCTTCTGCAGAAAGATCCGAGTTGCCTGCTGATCCGGAATCCGCATCGTCCACTCGCGCCTGCCTTCGGCATGCTTGCACTCTGTCGACTTCTGCCTGCTTGAAGCTGCGTTCCTCGGAGGGAGTTCGCTTGCTTTGATTTTCTCTTCGCCACCTTGTCGTCCTGGAAAGGTCTTCAAGCTCTCCTTCGGCTGGCTTGCGGCCTCTTTTTATCCCCATCTGGCAGCTATGCGCTGAACTAGCATAAGCATTTTGACCCAAAAGCGCTTGGGCAAGGGAGATGTACAAACCATGGAGTTGAGTGTGGCGCATGTGACATCAATCATTTGTAGAAGAAACTGGAAACGGATTTGGCGGAAAATGCAAGGCGCTTTCTTTTTTTAACGCGCCGCCAATAGACATCTGGCGCAAACCGAAAGCAACTGAGCGCGACACATGTGACATCAATCCCTTGCAATCGAAGACCTCAAAAACTGGAATTTTTGCGGACGTTTGAAAACAATGGTCCGAAAACGGCAATGGAAGAAGACAAGTTGTGAACCAAGAATCCCTTTCAGTCGAAGACCTCAAAAACTGGAATTACGAAACATTTCGAAACACATCTGGTCCAAACCGAATGCAGCTGAGTGCGGCACATGTGACATCAATCCCTTGCAATCGAAGACCTGAAGAGACTGAAATAACGAAACATGTGGACAGACATCTGATGCAAACCGAAGGCAGCTGAGTGCGGCACATGTGACATCAATCCCTTGCATTCGAACACCTGAAGAGACTGAAATAACGAAACATGTGGACAGACATCTGGTCCAAACCGAATGCAGCTCAGTGTGGCGCATGTGACATCAACCCCTTGCAATCGAAGCTCCAAGAAACTGGAATTACGAAACATTTTGAAACACGTTTGCTCCAAACCGAATGCAGCTGAGCGTTGCACATGTGACATCAATCCCTTGCAATGGAAGACCTCAAAAACTGGAATTACGAAACATTTTGAAACACATCTGGTCCAAACCGAATGCAGTTGAGTGTGACACTCGTCACAAATGCAACCTGCTGGCCGGTTGCATCCTGCTGGCCGGTTGCATCCACAGACGATGGTCAAATTGACTTGCAGAAGCCCTGCCTCGACGGGTCTTCTCGACAGGCTCGATGTCCAGTCTGATCTGGCCTTCGACCTGATCTGCCTTGAGGATCTTTCTCTGCACCTCCAATGGCATAAAAAACAAAGCAAACCCAAACATCGCTTTCCCGAGACGCTGTCAGCGACAAAGAATGAAAAACAAACCGAAACCCTTCCCGCTCCTGGACGTTGAAGCGCACAAGCGCTCAACGTCCCTCGCGCCCCAAGCGCACAAGCGCTGGAGCACGAGCGGAGCGGAAGGAGCCTCAGCGCTTATTACGAAACATTTTGAAACGCATCTGGTCCGCGGCACAATGTGACACAACCCCTTGCAATCAAGACATGAAGAACTGAAATAACGAAACAATGATGGAACAGCACATCAGCTAGCCAAACCGAAGGCAGCTTGTAGTGCGGCACAAGTGACATCCAACCCTTGCCTTCGAACCACCTGAAGAAAACTGGAAAAACAAAAACATGTGGGACAGACATCTGGTCAAACCGAAATGCACCTGAGTGTTGCCATGAGAAATCAAACCCCCCCCTTTGCAATCGAAGATCCAAAAAACTGGAATTACCGAAAACAATTTTTGAACAACATATGCTCCAAACCCGAATCGCCAACGCTGAGCGTTGCACTGTGACATCAATCCCTTGCAATCGAAGCACCCTCAAGAAACTGAAATTACGAAACATTTTGAAACCATCTGGTCCTTACCGAATGCAGTTTGAAGTGTGACACTTAGTCAACAAATGCAACCTGCTGGGCCGCTTGCATCCTCTGGCCGTTTGAATCCAACAAGTACAATGTCAACTTAACTTACAGATGCCCTGCCACACCAGCTTTCTCAGCAGGCTCGATGTCCAATCTGATCTGGCCTTCGACCTGATCTGCCTTGAGGATCTTTCTCTGCACCTCCAATGGCATAAAAAACAAAGCAAACCCAAACATCGCTTTCCCGAGACGCTGTCAGCAACAAAGAATGAAAAACAAACCGAAACCCTTCCCGCCCCTGGACGTTGAAGCGCACAAGCGCTCAACGTCCCTCGCGCCCCAAGCGCACAAGCGCTGGAGCACGAGCGGAGCGGAAGGAGTCTCAGCGTTTATTACGAAACAGTTTCAAACACATCTGGTCCAAACCGAATGCAGCTGAGTGCGGCACATGTGACATCAACCCCTTGCAGACGAAACATGTGGAAACACATCTGGTGCAAGCCGAAGGCAACTGAGTGCGGCACATGACATCAATCCCTTGCAATCGAAGACCTGAAGAAACTGAAATTAATTTGAAACAAATGGTCCGAACCGAATGCAGCTGAGTGTGGCGCATGTGACATCAATCCCTTGCAATCGAAGACCCCAAGAAACTGGAATTACACAACATTTTAAACACATTTGGTCCTAACCGAATGCAGCTGTGTGCGACACGCGTCACAAATGCAACGTGTTGGCCGCTTGCGCGCAGAGACGAAGGTCAAGTCGATCTCCGGAGTCCCGGCCTCGACCGGTTTCTTCGCAAGCTCCATGTCCAATTTCATCCGCTCGGATAGCAAAGGCCAATGACGAGCTGACAACTGCAAGCACAATTACGGCGCACAAGTCCAAAACAAACAAACAACAATGCTGCCGCAAAAACTGTCGCGCTGCCCGCTAATGCCTTTCCTCAATGTCGCAAAATGCACAGCCTTCGTCCAGCCTTCGGCTTGGCCTTCGTCCAGCCTTCGGCTTGACACACTGCGCCGCTATAGCGCATCCAGGTCGCAGCCGCTCTCCGCACCCCAACGCGGAGCATGGCTGCCGCCCCAACGCTATCCACTACTCCCGCTCTACTTCAAAAGCTGGTGGATCTCTTTCAAAAGCATGCGGGAATGTTCTCGACTGGAGATCCGCTGCGCTCCCACGCAGGTGACATTTGTCCTGGCTTCGCCACCCCACGTGTCCGGCTTGGCTCGCAGCTGCAGCTCCAACATCTCGTCGTAGTATGTGTCCTTGAGCGCTTCTTCACAGATCTCCTCAGACTGCTGGCTCAGTTCGACAATGCACTCGGCGGTCGAACCTAGCACTTTCTCGGCAGCTGGGTGGAAAACTGTGACCCAGCATGATCCGAAAGCATCGTGAAAACGACAGCGCACATTCAGCCGCGGCCCCACCTGCGCAGCGCAACTGCATAAACGCAAAATGATCGCACGCAAACCCGCCTTCCCCGACTTCTGGCACATTCGACAGTACCCGGTCTCGTCAACTCTTCGGTTACACTGCAGGCTGCCGCCATCTTTCAGCTCCAGGCAGGCCATGTAGTACAGAGGCATGGCCTGCCGATTCAAATGTGTGGCACACCAACTGCATTTCTGCATCTCTCTTTCTCTCTCTCTCTCTCTCTCTCTCTCTCTCTCTCTCTCTCTCTCTCTCTCTCTCTCTCTCTCTCTCTCTCTCTCTCTCTCTCTCTCTCTCTCTCTCTCTCTCTCTCTCTCTCTCTGATATGTAGATGAATATACATATATATATATATACACATCTAGAAACACAAACAAACAAAAACATCGCGCCTTGTGGGTTTTTTTTTCGGAGCTGTAGCGACCCAAGTCGGCATATGAGCGTATAGGACTGCTGCTCCCTCACAGCCTGCTGCGACATCGCTGAGATCTCTACCGAGGTCGCTCTTTGTGAAGGTCGAAGACTACCAGCTGGGCTGCTCGAATGTGAGATGTAGGTCAATCTCTGCTGGTTGCCTCCCTTGTACCACCAGGCGGCTACCCTGGCAAACTCGCGACTATCTAATCTGGCTCTGTCACCCCACAAGGTAACCAGCACGCTGTGGCCGCTGTCGTCTGCCACAGTGATCTCTCGCTTGACTAAAGCTTTTCCTTCTTTGGTCTGAAACTCTTGAGGGTGCTCCGCTGAAACGAAGACTCCGCAGATATCCACGCTGCTAGGCACAGGCATCTGTGTCACTGAAGCAATCTTCTGCACGGCGAGGCGCACTGCTCCGATGTCAGCGTCGTCGTCTACCATGTGTATCTGACATCTGCCGTCGAACACCAGCTCGTAGCCATGCTTGAGCACGCTGTACTTCTTCTAGGGCGCACGCTGCCGTTGCACAGCGTGAAGCATCTTCCGCACTGCATAAGATCATAGTGCTGCTCCGCAGCTTCGTTGAACAAGCTTGCACGAATCTCGCCTCCTTCTCTATCCAGCAGCTCCACTGAGAACACCATTCCCTGCAGGCCGACCAAATCCACCAAACTCAACCAGTCACTGCAAACCTAACATATGCGAAGACTCAACAACTCCCACAAGCCTGTCCACCACCATTCTTGTTTTGGAACTGACGCAGTCACTCTGCACTTGATGGTCCACTTCGGACCCACCCAGGTACTTAGCTCTCTGACTGGAAAAAAAGCGCGATGTTCGCTCATGCTGCAGTTTGCTTCGAGCAAAACAACTAACAAACCAAAGCCAAAACACTTGCGAGCCGCTGCCAAACACAACGTGTGAAGACAACACCGCCCAAGCACAGCACACGGGCCGTCACTCATTCTTTTCATGGCATTTGGACTTCTGCTGCGCGGGCCGATTCTCCGCTAGCTGTTCCGCGTGGCCCAGTTTTTGGCTGGGCTACTGACCTAGCCTTCGGCTTGGCAATCCGAGCAAACCGCTCGCGCCCAAACGCTGCCGGTGCGTTTGTCCCGGAAGACCATGTCTTGCTGATGGACCAAGTCGTCGTCGCCCATAATGCAATTTTTGGTAACATCCATGTCGCGGCATTGCTGGCAGACGACCGCGTACGGTAGCAAGGATCGTCCTTGGTCGCTAAAGGCTTACATGGCCATTGCTCATCTTGCACAACCAAAAACAAAACATCCCTCGTCAACTCTAGGGGGGCGGCAACTTCATGACGGCGCCTGGTGGAAACTGCCGCAGCACACATGGCGGCGGCGCCTTGGTTGGCAGACGTGCCGGCTGCACGCAGGGGGCTTTCGCCTTTGTCTTGAAGGCTGGCGGCTGGGGCTCAGCAGGTGTTTGCGTGAAAAAAACAAAGTTGAATGCTGCTGAGCAGGCGCAGCCGGCGCACAAGGAAAGGCGGAAGTTGGGAAGCTTGGCGGAGGCGAAGGAAACGCCGGAGGCAAAGAAAACAGATCAGGTGGTGACGGCGGGCAAGCCTGCCGCGGCCTGACCCAGCACGCACATGGATTTGCGTGGCACACATCGCACGCTCCCGGCTCTGGCACATGCCAAGAATCATAAGCATAACCATACCCTTTTGTCGGCTGCCAGGCAGGCTGGTGCTGTTGTAGACGCTCAGCCAGGTATGTGTGATCTACATAGTTCGCACCTCCTGACCTTCGGTCTGGTCTCACCCGTTCTCCCGCAAGTTTGCTGAGCAGCAGCCGCACCTTCGGTCTGGCCTACGCTGGCTTATGAAGACTCAGCAGGCGGCCGACGAAAGTTACTTGGCACCTGCCTTAAGGCTGACGCTTAGCCGGGCAGCTGCGGCGGCCGGTCTTCGCAAACACTCTGCCGTTGGGCGCTTGCGGCAGCAGCCGCCACCGGGCATGGCACGACGACACTTCACTTCTGACATTTATTGCAGTGGGCAAGGCTGAGGCTAAGATGCAATTGACTGTTCAATTGCGTTGCTAACCGCCCTGCACCTAGTGCTGAAGCTACCGGCAGCCCAAAACAAAGCCTTGCCTGAACAGTTAGCACAAAATCCTTTTCGCGCCATAGCCTGCTTTGCCACGTTCTGCCTTGGCAGACGCTTGACGCGCAACAGCGTACTGGGCTTTGCGCTATCCACTGACGGGCGCACACTGCACGCAAGCCAGTGAAACTCACAGTGGACTGGGCGACCAAAACCCCCTTTGGCGGACGCCGTCGCCCTTTGCTAGTGGATGAATTGCAACCCCACAGACACGTCTCTGGTATGTTCACTTACAGTATGCGTCGGTCAAAAACGATTGGGACCTCGGCCTGCACATGATAAATTGACCAATGTAGCGCATGATAAATTGCCGATGTAGCTATGCCTTATAGTTTTTGCGGCCAATGGGACACCTAGTAGTAAGGAACATCAGCCTATAGGGACCTAACTATTTGTGATTTTTGGGCCAAAAACCCTGCAAAACTGCATAATTTCACCCAAAAAAACGCTTGTCACCAGCGATGTCACCGCTTCGTCGCCGCTCCGTTTTTGGTGCAAAAAGCGCTGAAAACGGCGAACTCCGAAAAGTGCGTTTTTTCGTGTCCGGCGTCAAAAGTGGTGCCTGGGCCTCCAAATTCGCTCGTTTTCCTCCGAAAACCGGTTCCAGGCGTTCGCCGTGCTCCGAAATCCGTTTTCTGCCCCGAAAAGCCTGCGAATTCCAGCCCGCTGAGCTCGTTACCGCTTGTCACCGCTTTGTCACCGCTCGCTTTTTGGGTGCAAAAGTGCGCAAAAGCGGCCCCAGTTCTCTCCGCAGGGTTTTTCGCGGCCCGGCAGCCCGCCGAGGACCAGGCTCGGAGCCCGACAGCCAGCCGAGGTTCTCCATGTAACACGTCAGCCTGCTGAATTAGTCACCGCCGATGTCACCGGTGTCTAACACGTCAGCCTGCCAAGGTGCCAGGGTGGAATCGAACCTCCCAGACGTCGCTCCGGAGACCAACGCCTAAGCCATCTCACCATCGGCTTTTGTTACCGTCCCAAAACGGCGCTTTATGGCCCAAAAACGCTCTCACCACGATGTCACCGCTTCGTCACCGCTCTCTTTGGGGCCGAAAAGTGCGCAAAAGCGCCCCAGTTCCCGAGAGGACACGGTTCTTGGCAAGTTTGAGTCAATAATGGAACCGGGTGATTCATCAACGGCTCATGAATGGGCAAGGTTGGTTCATGAATGGGCAAGGTTGGTTCATGAATGGGCAAGGTTGGCTCATGAATGCCCCGCAGGTCATAGCCGCTGAGACAAGTGTCCTTCGCCGGTCTCGTCATGAAGGACCTCGCTTCATGCCCAGTGTCCGACGCCATCGGACACTGCGTCATTCCACACTTCGCGTACTGGTAGGGGCTGTTGCGAGATGATATATAATTATACCACCCTGCGCCACGAAGGCCCCGAATGACCCATAGCGACTCAAGTGAGGGCGCGTTGCGAAAGTACAACACCCCTGCGTTACGAATTCGTGTAACACCTACTCCTAAGAAAACATGTTTGCAGGACCTGTCACGGGCAACATCCCGGAGGTCCTGGACAACGGAGAGGTGACTGACGGCACGCACGTCACAGCAGGACAGCTGGCCCTCGCTCTGACGCCCTACGCTCAAGTAACTGACCTGGCGGTGAACACGGCAGCCTCCGGCAACAACGCTGCTGCCATCCAGTCTCTGGACGACCGCTGGCCTCAAAGCTGGACCTCTCTCTTTAGAGGGGGTTTTCCAAATGGCTTATATTGTACCTGAGAGGCTTCTAGCACTCGTCCGTCCAGCATTTGACCTCGTCCTGCGAAGGATTCGAAGTCTAAAACGCTGCGTGCAGGCGTGTGGCTGCAAAATAGAGACCCTAGATATGCTTGCAATTTGGCTCCAGGTTGCATTTCAAGCGAGCCAACCTTTGCAGGGCTAAGAAAAACAAAAAAAAAAAGAAAACAAGGGGTCCAAAAAAAAGGGGTCCCCGAAAAAAAAGGGAAAAGGGGTTTCCTTTGGCAAAGCTTGACATCGCTTGAAATGCAACCTGGAGCCAAATTGCAGCGCATATCTAGGGGTCTCTATTTTGCAGCCACACGCCTGCACGCAGCGTTTTAGACTTCGAATCCTTCGCAGGACTAGGTCAAATGCTGGACGGACGAGTGTCAGAAGCCTCTCAGGTACAATATAAGCCATTTGGAAAACGCCCTCTACAGAGAGAGGTTCGCCTGAGAACTGCTGAAAAGTCTTCTAAAGAGATGGATACAGGGAATGCAGGGATTCCCTGCAGAAACCCTGCATTGAAATTCCCCCAGGATTCCTTGCTATACGCTTAATTTCTTCAACACAAGTGCCAACACAAGTGCCACTTGTGTTCACATTCCTGCCGCGCCACCTGCCCGGCATTGAAGCCGCGCCAAGCCGCTGAACCCCCACTCTCCCCCGCGTCCTTGCTATATGTGCTATATGTGCTATATCTTACACGCCAAGCCGCTGAACCCCCACTCTCCCCCGGGTCCATGCTATA